AATTGTGTAGATCACCGGAAATTTTTCGGAAAATAAACTTGCCCCTTGATTTTTAGGACATGTCACACGACTAGTAACCCTCATTTTTTTACGCATATAGTACGCATATAGTATAGGGTGGGAATATTATAAATACGCGATAATAATAATAAAAAAGCAAATAGCATGTATAATTTTTTTTTAGAAATATTTATTAATAATATTTCCGTTAAAAAAAAAGAGATAAATATTTCCACAAGATTAATCACCGATTATCTGATTATCCAATCGTTGGATATTAATAATGATAATATAAAAAGAGAAGATCCTCTTGTGTCGTGGAGATATCATAAAAGCAAGTTTCCAACATTGTTTTGATTGGCTAGTACGAGTGTGGCTTTTGTCAGCCTCGATTATTTTACATTTATGGCCGAGTTTTGAGTTAGCTTTTTAACCACGCTCGTCGATTAATTGCAAGATTTTATATATATAATGCTCGTCAATTATTTTATTTTACACATTTATTTCAATTATTCTACTGGTACCTAGGAAGCTTCGGCGAATCTGTAAGGTACGAATTACAATAAAATTGAATTTTCTTTGGCCGATTGAAGTCGGCCGTACGTTTACAACAATCACTTTAACACAATACAACAGAATGTGATAACTACTGTACCCATTTACAAAAAGTTAAACAAAAAACCTTTAACAAAAACCAAAGCAAAAACTTTACTACCCGTTGCGAACATTACACTGGTTAACTAACGTAAAAACAAAAATATTTGCTTACTTATTAAAAGCTATTATTATTATTACTACTACAATTATTATTCAAATTTCTATTAAAATCATCAATGCTTCCCATGATATCATTTTTCTATTTTTACACGTTTCAACAATTCTTCAATAATGGTGATATAACTGAATGTTTTCTTGAATACACAAAATCATATAATTTGCATTTGAAAAAAATTTGAGAATGTATTGAATGATTGAATATCCTGTTATCGATGTGGTAATGTGGCTAGAAATGATTGAGGTCCAATTGGATATTGAGATAATAAATCCATGATATTATTGTTTTG